AGGTGTGAGCGTTGGGGAACGGGGTTAGGCGCCGGTGAGGCGGTGACAATTAGGGGGAGAAGCATCGACTGAGCGGGTGCATTAGGGGGCGAGCAGGTGTGAGCGTTGGGGAACGGGGTTAGGCGCCGGCGAGGCGGTGACAATTAGGGGGAGAAGCGTCGACTGAGCGGGTGCATTAGGGGGCGAGCAGGTGCGAGCGTTGGGGAACGGGGTTAGGCGCCGGCGAGGCGGTGACAATTAGGGGGAGAAGCGTCGACTGAGCGGGTGCATTAGGGGGCGAGCAGGTGCGAGCGTTGGGGAACGGGGTTAGGCGCCGGCGAGGCGGGAGATGTAGGGATAATTGGGGTTGTAGCGCGTGCCGGAGGCGCTGTGGAGGCGGTAGCTGATGGGGGGGTGGAGGGGGGGTTAATAAGTGAGGGCTCCAAATGAGGAGGAATATATGAGGGGAGTGTGCGGAGCAGCGCCGGGTTTGGTGATCGAGGGATGAAGGAGAGAAGAGTCGGTGAGAAGACGCCCGGGACCTCGGCCCTCCTCACCTCGTCCTCCCCAGCAGTGTTGGCTGATCCCCTGCTGGAGCAGGAACGAGGGCGTGAGGGAAGCGGGACAGGCGAGGGGAGGTTAGGACAGTGAGAGGGGATGGCAGAGCATAGCGGGGGGAGACAGAGTGGTTACATGGGGCACGCGGAGTTACATGGGGCACGCGGAGTCGGGGAGTTCAGAACCAGGCTGAGTGTGTGTGTGTGTTGAGTGTAAAGCAAGGAGCGTCCACATTTGATGCAAGGTAATAGGTGAAACGTTAAGAGTGTCCGTGTGAGTACGACACTACACAAGTACCGTGTCTGGTTAATGCAGCGACACGATTCCTTGCAGAAGATTTCAGTTTGGTGTGTTAACATCTGAACACAACAACTGTTTTATTATGGCCAGAAAGGGTCAAACCTCTTCTTATATTTTGATAATGGCAAGGGACGGCTTTCCTCTTGGTCAACCGTGTTATGTAACATCGATGATCTGGTAATTGCTGCTCGCTCAGAGGAGGAGTCGGAGGCGCTGCTGCTGAACCTGGAGCTTGCCACCAAAATCTAAGCGCCTGAGACGAGGCTCAAGAAGAAAGCCGTCTCTGGTGTGGACCAATCAGTTTGAAGGACAATGCCACAGATATTATCAGAGTATGTTTTGTGTTTGTATTTTGACCACAAGTATTGTGTGCATCATTCCTTGTAAAAAGGTTTCAGTTTGGTGTTTTAACAACTTAACACCTGTTTTGTTGCCAGAAAAAAGGGGAAAACCATAATTTTAATAAATAAGCTTGTGCCGGAGGCCCCGGGGGGACTGGCGTCTATGACGTCTCCTGGCCAAACCCCATTTGGCGGAGCCAGGAGACTGAATCTTTACTCTCGGGGATCCTCCAGAAACAACAAAAAACCACTTCGTGTGGCTACATGGAATGTTCGAATGCTCACTGCGGAAGAGAGGCTGCCTCTCCTCTGTCGAAAGCTGGATCGGTACCGCCTGGATCTCTGTGGCATTCAGGAGGTCCGGTGGACCGGTTCTGGCTCCTGCCACCATGAGAGGTGGACAGTCCTCTACTCGGGGCAGGAGACGGCCAAACAACAGGGTCTTCTTCTCAACAAAATAATGAAGGGGGCGTGGAAGCGTGGCGGTGAGGTGTGGGAAGCTGTAAGCCCCAGGCTACTTTGGGCTCGCCTTCCCATCAACCAGAAGCTAGGAGTGGTGGTCGTGGTTACTTATGCCCCCACTGAAGTCGAATATCCGTGAAGGGATGCAGGCAAGGCCGACGAGTCAGATGCCTTCTATGACCTCCTGTCACAGGTGCTGGCTAAAGTGGCCCCTCGGGATAGAGTCATCTTGTTGGGTGACTTCAATGCCCGAGTTGGTCATGATGCTGGCACCTGGTCTGGAGTAATTGGAATGCATGGGCCAGATCAGCTCAATAACAACGGCAGGAGACTGCTGGATTTTTTTGCAGCCCATGGGCTTGTAATTACTAAAACGCTGTTCCGGCATCGGCGCATCCACACCACATCATGGATGCATGCCGAGTCCAAGCAAGAACATCTTCTGGACTACATAGTGATGGAACAGCGGATACGGGCTCATGTCCTTGACACCAGGACCTACCGTGGAGCTGATTTGCCCACTGACCATCGACTTGCCATCTGTAAGATGCGCCTGCCATTCTTCCACTCCGGTGGTGGGTGGCCACCCAGGACCTCATTCAAATCCTTAGTGGCCTGGTGTCAGCTCGCTGTTGAAAGTTGCAAGCGAGAATTTCGCTTGTGGCTGGGGTTGACATCGTCCCCCACTCCTCCTGATGTCGAGGGTAAATGGGCAAGGTTTAGGACTGTGGCTCATGTAACTGCAATGGCTGCCTTGGGTACGCAGTCCAGACCTCCCCAGGGACCCTGGCTGACAGAGGAGGTGTTCAAACTGGCTGAGAAAAAGCGACAGGCCCACTCTCAGGGGCTACAGCATCCCACGTCAGATAATGAGGAGGCTTACTGCAGCCTTCACTCCGAGGTTGTGAGAGCTGTGAGGCGCTGCAAGGATGGGTGGTGGTCGCGGATTGCTGAGGAGATGGAGTCTGCCTCCATGGCCCGCGATCACAAATCGCCCTTTAATTCCATCAAAAAAGGTAACCTGCAGCGCCACACCTATTACCATCATTAGAGAAAAGAAAGGTGATCCAATCTCCGACCCCCAGGAACAGGTTTGCAGATTTGCTGAGCATTTCTGAGGTCCTGGGGGAGGGGAAATCCCTCAGCCAGGAAAACATCGTGGCACAAAGTGGGGATGACCCTACTGAGGCTGCAGTGCCTCAAATATTGGAAGAAGTCACCCCCTGTGTGAGTGGCTGGCTGAGGTGCCATCTGTTGAGGCAGTACTACAGGCAATCCGGAGTCTGAGACCAGGAAAGGCACCGGGCAGAGATGATCTCCCAAGCGAAATGCTGAGGGAGGGTGGCGTTTGTGCACAGACTGCCCTATATGACATCATAACAACAGTCTGGACCACTGGATGGGTTCCGCAGGATTGGAAGGATGCCCTGGTGGTCCCCCTCTTTAAGAAGGGGGCCCGGACAGACTGTAACAACTACAGGGGCATCTCACTCCTCAGTGTACCGGGAAAGGTCCTGGCAAGGATTATTCAACATTGCTTTTCTAGGCACGATGTGGAGAGGCTTGTGGAGCCCCAATGCGATTTCAGGAAAGGGCGGTCCTGCACAGATGCCATATTTTCTGTCCGTCTGCTACAGCAGAGGTGTATGGAATTCCAAAAAGACCTACATCTCTGCTTTATTGACCTGGTCAAGGCCTATGATACCATCAGTAGGCCTGGGCTCTGGGTTGTTCTTCGTGCTTTTGGTGTCCCTGACCCTCTGCTCACGAACATTAAGGACCTTCATGATGGTGAGCGGGCCCGGGTAAAACTACGTGGCCGGGAGTCAGAGCCATTCCCTGTACACCTTGGGGTGCGACAGGGATGTCCTCTGGCTCCCACATTATTTAACATCTATTTTGACCACGTAGTTCGTGAGGCCTTCAATAGCTGTACCGGATATAATGGGAGGCTGATCGATGCCCGTGTGCTCGTCAAGGGATGGCTCCCTATTGGTCAACCACGTTATGTATGCCGATGATCTGGTAATTGCTGCTCATTCAGAGGAGGAGTTGGAGGCGCTGCTGCTGAACCTGGAGCTTACCACCAAGAGGTGGGGCCTTACCATCACCCCCACCAAAACTAGTGGTGGTAATTGTGGTGTTACCCAGACAGACGAGTGTAGCGAACTCTGTAATTGTGGTGGTAGTGGTGGTTGTGGTGGTGGCTGTGGTGGTTGTGGTGGTGGCTGTGGTGGTTGTGGTGGTGGTTGTGGTGTTGTGACCCAGCCAGACGAGTGCAGCTAGCTGTGTGGTTGTGGTGGTAGTGGTGGTGGTAGTTGTGGTGGTAGTGGTGGTGGTTATGGTGGTTGTGGTTGTGGTGTTGTGACCCAGACAGACGAGTGTAGCTAGCTGTGTAATTCTTGTTGGTTGTGGTGGTTGTTGTGGTGGTTGTGGTGTTGTGGTGGTTGTGGTGTTGTGGTGTCGTGGTGGTTGTGGTGGTTGTGACCCAGCCACACGAGTGTAGCTAGCTGTATAATTCTTGTTGGTTGTGGTGTTGTGGTGGTTGTGGTGGTTGTGGTTGTGGTGGTTGTGGTGTTGTGGTGTTGTGGTGGTTGTGGTGGTTGTGGTGTTGTAACCCAGCTAGATGAGTGTAGCTAGCTGTGTAATTGTGGTGGTTGTGGTTGTGGTGTTGTGGTGGTTGTGGTGGTTGTGGTGGTTGTGGTTGTGGTGTTGTGGTGGTTGCGGTGGTTGTGGTGTTGTGGTGGTTGTGGTGTTGTGACCCAGCTAGATGAGTGTAGCTAGCTGTGTAATTGTGGTGGTTGTGGTGGTTGTGGTGGTTGTGGTTGTAGTGGTTGCGGTGGTTGTGGTTGTTGTTGTGGTGGTTGTGGTGTTGTGGTTGTGGTGTTGTGACCCATCTAGACGAGTGTAGCTAGCTGTGTGATTGTGGTGGTTGTGGTTGTGGTATTGTGGTTGTGGTGTTGTGACCCAGCTAGACTAGTGTAGCTGGTTCTGTAATTGCGGGGCGAGGCGTCACCGCCTTCGGCTGGCCCAGCCAGCAGCTCTCGTCTCATGCCCCGACTTTCTGTTGAGTTCAGCAGAAAGTTCGTCTGCCTCTGTCACCTGCCTCTACGCATCATCAGTATCACCATCATCACCATCATCAGTATCACCATCATCAGTATCACCATCATCAGTATCACCATCATCAGTATCACCATCATCAGTATCACCATCATCAGTATCACCATCATCATCAGCACCACCATCACCACCACCATCACCACCGCCACCACCATCACCACCACCATCACCACCGCCACCACCATCACCACCACCATCACCACCACCAACACCATCACCACCACCACCACGGTGGCCATGAGCTGGCAGCACGAGAGCGATGTGGCTGTCTCCGCTGAGTCGCGCTGCGCCCACAGCTTCTTCTGCTCCGTCTGCATCGAGACATACGACGAGGTGGAGGAGGTGGAGGAGGTGGAGGAGATGGTGGAGGTGGTGGTGGAAGAGGTGGAGGAGGAGGAGGTGGTGGTGGAGCAACTGAAACCCAACCGGGCGCGTCCGGATGAACCACCGCCACTATCATTGCCATCACCACCATCATTACCATCACCACCATCATTACCATCACCACCATCACCACCACCACCATCATCAACCACCACCACCACGACGGCAGCAGTAGCACCACCACCACCCTCATCGCCATCATCATCCACCACCACCACTACGGCACCACCACCACCACCCTCATCCACCACCACCACCACTACGGCACCACCACCACCACACTGGGACGTCCGCGCCATCAACGTCGCTGCTTCGTCCGCTGCGTCCGCTGTGTCTGTGTCCGCGTGCCTCGAGTGTGCGCGCTTCCTCTGCGCGCGCCACGCGGAGGCGCACGGCCGGACTGCGGGTTGCTCTGGCCACACCGTGGTGCCTGCCGGCCACGCCGCGGGGCGCTCCGGCCACACCGAGGGGCGCTCGGCACCGCTCGGAAGACGACGGAACGGAGGAGCAGGAGGAGGAAGGCTGGGGCCGGATGAAGATGATGACGATGAGGTGGATGATGAGTTGGATGATGATGATGATGAGGAGGATGACGATGCTGAGGACGAGGAGGAGGATGATTGCCGAAGCCTTTGCAGGCGTCACGGCAAGCCGGTGGTGTTCCGGTGCCTCGTGGACGGGGACTTGCTGTGCGTGGAGTGCAAGCGGAGGGGAGAACACCGCGGACACGAGGTGAACGTGCCGCAAATAGGCCACGCAGCCAGGAGGGTGAGTGGGTGGGTGGGTGAGGGGGTGAGTGGGTGTGTGGGTGGGCGAGTGGGTGGGTGAGTGAATGGGTGAGGGGGTGGGTGAGTGAGTGGGTGAGGGGGTGGGTGAGTGAGTGGGTGAGGGGGTGGGTGAGTGAGTGGGTGAGGGGGTGGGTGAGTGAGTGGGTGAGGGGGTGAGTGGGTGAGGGGGTGAGTGGGTGAGGGGGTGAGTGGGTGAGTGGGTGAGGGGGTGAGTGAGTGGGTGGGTGAGTGAGTGGGTGAAGGGGTGAGGGGGTGAGTGGGTGGGTGGGTGAGTGAGTGGGTGAGGGGGTGGGTGAGTGGGTGGGTGGGCGAGAGGGTGAGTGGGTGGGCGAGTGGGTGAGTGGGTGGGTGGGTGGGTGAGTGGGTGAGTGGGTGGGTGAGTGGGTGGGTGAGTGGGTGGGTGAGTGAGTGTGTGAAGGGGTGGGTGGGTGGGCGAGTGGGTGTGTGAGGGGGTGGGTGGGTGGGCGAGTGGGTGAGTGAGTGGGTGGGTGAGTGGGTGAGTGGGTGGGTGAGTGGGTGGGTGTGTGGGTGAGTGGGTGGGCGAGTGGGCGAGTGGGTGGGTGGGCGAGAGGGTGGGTAGGCGAGTGGGTGAGTGGGTGGGTGGGCGAGTGGGTGAGTGGGTGGGTGAGTGGGTGGGTGGGCGAGAGGGTGAGTGGGTGGGCGAGTGGGTGGGTGGGTGGGTGTGTGAGTGGGTGGGTGTGAGTAGGTGCGTGGGTGTGTGAGTGGGTGGGAGGGTGAGTAGGTGGGTGAGTGGGTGAGTGAGTGGGTGAGTGAGTGGGTGAGTGAGTGGGTGGGTGTGTGAGTGGGTGGGTGTGTGAGTGGGTGGGTGAGTGGGTGGGCGAGTGGGTGGATGGGGTGGTCCGGCAAAACAACCCTCTACCTCCTCGTGGTGCCTGACGGCAACGCTGCGGTGGGCAGTGCCGTGGGGGGAGGACCAATTTGGATTGACCATTTCCCTCAGGGCGTTTGTAGCCACCACAGGGGCCAAATGGGGGCTTTGGATAGGTGTGAGGGGCTGGTAACCCCTCCACCTTCAATTGCCACAAAACCATGTCTAAAATATCTAATTAATAAGCTTGTGCCGGAGGCCCCGGGGGGACAGGCGTCTATGACGTCTCCTGGCCAAACCCCATTAGGCGGAGCCAGGAGACTGAATCCTTACCCGCGGGGCTCCTCCAGAAACAACAAAGAGCCACTTCGTGTGGCCACGTGGAATGTTCGAACGCTCACTGTGGAGGAGAGGCTGCCGCTCCTCTGTCGGGAGCTGGACCGGTAGCGCCTGGATCTCTGCGGTATTCAAGAGGTCCGGTGGACCAGTTCTGGCTCCTGACACCATGAGGGGTGGATAGTCCTCTACTTGGGGCAGGAGACTGCCAAACAACAGGGAGTGGCTCTTCTGAACAAAAGAATGAAGGGGATGTGGGAGCGTGGCGGTGAGGTGTGGGAAGCTGTAAGCCCCAGGCTACTTTGGGCTCGCCTTCCCATCAACCAGAGGTGAGGAGTGGTGGTCGTGGTTACTTATGCCCCTGTCGAAGATGAACATCCGTAGAGGGATGCAGGCAAGGCCGATGAGTCGGATGGCTTCTATGACCTTCTGTCACAGGTGCTAGCTAAAGTAGACCCTCGGGATAGAGTCATCCCGTTGGCCGATTGCAATGCCTGAGTTGGTCATGATGCTGGCACCTGGTCTGGAGTGATTGGAAAGCATGGGCCAGATCAGCTCAATAACAACGGTAGGAGGCTGCTAGATTTTTGTGCAGCCCATGGGCTTGTAATTACCAACACGCTGTTCTGGCATCAGCTCATCCACACAACATCATGGATGCATGCGGGGTCCAAGCAAGAACATCTGCTGGAATACATAGTGACGGAACAGCGGAATTTCAAGCGAGAATTTCATCATCGCTTGCGGCTGGGGTTGGCATCGTCCCGCACTCCCCCAAATGTCGAGGGGAAATGGGCGAGGTTTAGGACTGTGACTCATGCAGCTGCAATGGCTGCTTTGGGTACACGGTCCACACCTCCCCAGAGACCCTGGCTGACAGAGGAGGTGTTCAGGCTGGCTGAAAAAAAGCGACAGGCCCACTGTCATCGGCTACAGAATCCCACGTCAGAGAATGAGGAGGCTTACCGCAGCCTGGCTCGCAGGTTCAGAGAGCCGTGAAGTGCTGCAAGGATGGGTGGTGGTCGCGGGTTGCTGAGGAGATGGAGTCTGCCTCAGTGGCCCGCGATCACAAATCTCTATTTAACTCCATCAAAAAAGTAACTTGCAGCACCACACCTATTACCATAATTAGGGGAAAGAACGGTGATCCAATCTCCAACCCCCAGGAACAGGTTTGCAGATTTGCTGAGCATTTCTGTGAAGTCCTGGAGGAGCGGAAATCCCTCAGCCTGGAAAACATCGTGGGACAAAGCGGGGATGACCCTGCTGAGGCTGCGGTGCCTCAAATATTGGAAGAAGAAGTCACCCCCTGTGAGTTGCTGGCTGAGGTGCCAACTATTGAGGAAGTACTGAAGGCGATCCGGATCCTGAGACCAGGAAAGGCACTGGGCAGAGATGATCTTCCAAGTGAAATGCTGAGAGAGGGTGGCATTTGTGCACAGACTGCCCTTCATGACATAACTACAGTCTGGACTACTGGACGGGTTCCGCAGGATTGCAAGGATGCCCTGGTGGTCCCCCTCTTTAAGAAGGGGGACCGCACAGACTGTAACAACTACAGGGGCATCTCACTCCTCAGTGTGCCGGGAAAGGTCCTGGCAAGGATTATTCAACATCACCTTGCCAGGCACGCTGAGGAGAGGCTTGCGGAGCCCCAATGCGATTTCAGGAAAGGGCGGTCCTGCACAGATGCCATATTTTCTGTCCGTCTGCTACAGCAGAGGTGTAGGGAATTCCAACACGACCTACATCTCTGCTTTATTGACCTGGTCAAGGCCTATTATACCATCAGTAGGCCTGGCTTTGGGTTGTTCTTCATGCTTTTGGAGTCCCTGACCGTCTGCTCACGATCATTAAGGACCTTCATGATGGTGAGCGGGCCCGGGTAAAACTACGTGGCCGGGAGTCAGAGCCATTCCCTGTACACCTTGGGGTGCGACAGGGATGTCCTCTGGCTCCCACATTATTTTACATATTTTTCGACCACGTAGTTCGTGATGCCTTTGATGGCTGTATCGGATATAATGGGAGGCTGATCGATGCCTGGGTGTGGTCAAGGGATGGCTCCCTATTGTTCAACCACGTTATATATGCCGATGATCTGGTAACCGCTGCTCACTCAGATGAGGAATTGGAGACGCTGCTGCTGAGACTGGAGCTTGCCACTTAGAGGTGGGGCCTTACAATCAGCCCCACCAAAACTAAGCACCTGCCTGGGTATTTTGTACCATTGGACACTACACCCCCACAACTCCCAATCGGTGATGGGGCAGTTGTGGAGAGAGCGGAGAGTTTCCCATACCTGGGCAGTGTGGTTATAACTGGCTCCAGTTTAACAGCAGAGGTCTCACTCCAAATCAGTCGAGCGTCTTTTCATCGGTTGCTTAACGCTGTGTGGAAGCTACCTGGTCTGTCGCTCCGCACTAAGCTTCAGGTCTTCTCGGCCACAGTCATTCCCTCCCTTCTCTACGCTTGCGAAACGTGCACCCCCCTAATGGAACATCTTTGCCGGTTAGAAACATTTAGGCTAGCCTGCCTACGATCCATCCTGGGTTTAACCAGGCTGGATTGTGTGAGGAGCTCACAAATCCTTGAAAGATCTGGACAAAGACCCATCGGTGAGCTCCTCTGGCAGGCAAGGCTGCGTTGGCTGGGTCATGTAGCCCGCATGCCCAGCCACCGCATGCCGAAACAGCTTTTGTTCGGCCGGATTGAGGGGGCGAAACGGGCGCGGCACGGGCTAGAGAAGAGATGGAGTGACCTGGTACAGGAGGATGTCGAACTGAGTGGACTTGCCGAATGCTGGTACCAACGGTGTCAAGATCGGCCTCTGTGGAGGAGGCTCGTGAAGGACGCTACTGGGCAGTTGGAGGCAGTCGCCCTCCAACAACAACAGAGGGCGGAGGAGCGACGCTCATAACAACGAGCGGAGCGCTGAGTGGCTAAAGTACAGCAAGTTGGCAGAGTAGGGGGCATCAGCCAGTCGTCTCAGTCAGTCGACCCGTGGTACCTGCTGGGTCTGCCCCGTGACCTCTTGCCAGCGGGCGTTCGACACTTCACGTGGCCTCAAGGTGCACATAGCCTGGCACAAGCGTCGTGGTGACGTCCCTGCCACTTAGTGGCAAATGGCAGTTGTTGTTGTTGTTGTTGTGGGTGAGTGTGTGAGTGGGTCAGTTAGTGGGTCAGTGAGTGGGTCAGTGAGTGAGTGGGTGAGTGGGTGTTTGAGTGGGCGGGTGAGTGGGTGTATGGGTGGGTGAGTATGTGAGTGAGTGGGTCAGTGAGTGGGTCAGTGAGTGAGTGAGTGGATGAGTGAATGGATGAGTGGGGGAGTGGTTGGGTGGGAGAGTGAGTGGGTGAGTGAATGGGTGAGTAAGTGGTTGAGGGGGTGATTGGGTGAGTGAGTATGTTGGTGAGTGAGTAGGTGAGTGAGTGGGTGGGTGAGTGGGGGGGTGTGTGTGAGTGAGTGGTTGAGAGGGTGAGTGAGTGGGTGAGTGAGTGGGTGGATGAGTGGAGGAGTGGTTGGGTGAGTGGGTGGGTGAGTGGGTGAGTGAGTGGTGGGGGGGTGAGTGGGTGGGTGAGTGGGTGTGTGATTGAGTGGGTGAGTGGGTCAGTGAGTAAGGGAGTGGGTGAGGGAGTGGGTGAGTGGTTGAGTGGGCGAGTGGGTGAGTGAGTGGGTGTGCGAGTGGGGGAGTGCGTGGGTGAGTGGGCGAGTGGTTGGTTGAGTGGTGCACATGGCCTGGCACAAGCGTCGTGGTGACATCACCGCCACTTAGTGGCGAATGGCGGTTGTTGTTGTTGAGTGGGTCAGTGACTGAGGGAGTGGGTGAGCGAGTGGGTGAGTGGTTCAGTGGGTTAGTGGGTGAGTGGGTGAGTGAGTGAGTGGATGAGTGAGTGGGTGGGTGGGTCAGTGAGTGGGTCAGTGACTGGGTCAGTGACTGGGTCAGTGAGAGAGTGGGTGGGTGAGTGGGCGAGTGGTTGGTTGAGTGGGTGAGTGAGTGGGTGAGTGAGTGAGTAAGTGAGTTTGTGAGTGGGTTAGTGAGTGGGTTAGGGAGTGAGTGAGTGAGTGGGTGAGTGCGTGGGTCTGTGGGTGGGTGAGTGAGTGGGTGAGTGAGTGGGTAGGCGGGTGAGTAAGTGAGTGCGTGAGTGGGTGGGGGAGTGAGTGAGTGGGTGGGTGAGTGGATGAGCAAATGGGTGAGTGAATGAGTGAGTGGGTGAGTGAGTGGGTGGGTGGGTGAGTGAGTTCGGGAGTGGGTGGGTGAGTGAGTGAGTGGGTGAGTGAGTGAGTGGGTGAGTGAGTGGGTTAGTGGGTGGGTGAGTGGGTGGGTGATTGGGTGAGTGAGCAGGTGAGTGAGTGGGTGGTGGGTGAGTTGGTGAGTGAGTGGGTGGGTGGCTGAGTGGGTGGGTGAGTGGGTGGGTGAATGGGTGGGTGAGTGGCAGTCACCGAATCCCGCAGCGCTTTCAGATGTTACACTACACTACTAACTACATGCTACATTATACACTACACTATACAATACACTATACACTGCAATATACACTACATGCTACATTATACACTTTACTACACATTAAACACTACACTACACACTACTCACTAAACTATACACTACACACTACACTATACACGACACAATACACTGCACACTGTACTACACTTTACACTACACTACACTACAGACTACTCTACACACTACACTACACACTACACTACACACTACAGGCTACACTATACACTACACCCTACACTACGCCACACACTACACTGTACTATACACTACACTATACACTACTACTACTCTACAGTAAACACTACACACTACACTACACATTACACTACACTACACACTACACTACACCCTACACTATGCACTACACTATACACTACACTATACACACTACACTATACACACTGCACTATACACTACACTATACACACTACACTATGCACTACACTATACACTACACTACACTATACACTATACATTACACTATACACTACACTTTACACTACACTATACACTACACTACACACTACACTATACACTACACTACACACTACACTATGCACTACACTATACACTACACACTACACTATCCACTACACTATACACTACACTACACACTACACTATACACTATACACTACAATATACACTACACACTACACTACACACTACACTATACACTACACTATACACTACACACTACACTATACACTACACTACACTATATACTACACTATACACTACACTACACACTACACTATACACTACACTACTACACTATACACTACACTATACACTACACTACACACTACACTATACACTACACTATACACTACATTACACTATACACTACACTATACACTACATTATACACTACACTATACACTCCATGCTACACTACACTATACACTACACTACACACTACACTACACACTACGCTATACACTACACTACACACTACGCTATACACACTACACTACTACACTACACTATACACTACACTACACACTACACTATACACTACACACTACACTACACACTACACTACTACACACTACACTACTACACTACACACTACACTACACACTACACTACTACACTACACTACTATACACTACACTACACACTACACTACACACTACACTATACACTACACTACACTATACACTACACTATACACTACACTACACACTACACTATACACTACACTACTACACTATACACTACACTATACACTACACTATACACTACACTACTACACACTACACTACTACACTACACACTACACTACACACTACACTACTACACTACACTACTATACACTACACTACACACTACACTATACACTACACTACACTATACACTACACTATACACTACACTACACACTACACTACTACACACTATACACTACACACTACACTACACACTACACTATACACTACACTACTACACTATACACTACACTATACACTACACTATACACTACACTACTACACTACACTAATACACTACACACTATACACTACACACTACACTATACACACTACACTACTACACTACACTACACACTACACTACACACTACACTACACTACACACTACACTACTATTCTACACACTACACTACACACTACACTACACGACTACACTAAACTACTACACTACACACTACACTATACACACACACTACTACACACTATACACACTACACTACTACACTACACTATACACTACACTACACACTACACTACACTATACACTACACTATACACTACACTACTATACACTACACTACTATACACTACACTACTATACACTACACGCTACACTACACACTACACTACACTATACACTACACTACACACTACACTACACACTACACTACACTACTACACTACACTATACACTACAGACTGGATGTCAGCCGTCGTGTTTGTGTCTCTGTTCATGCCCCAGGAGGCGGTCGCGGCCGAGATTTTGAGAGTGCAGAGCCAAAAGTTTGTGATGGAGCTCGAGATCGCTGAGATTGTGCAGCTGGGCAACAGCGTGGAGGTACAGCAGACTCATAGACACCCATAGAGACCCTATAGAGACTCATAGAGACCCTATAGAGACTCATAGACACCCATAGAGACACATAGAGACTCATAGAGATCCTATAGAGACATAGAGACCCATAGAGACCTATAGAGACTCATAGAGACCCTATAGAGACATAGAGACCCATAGAGACACATAGAGACCCATAGAGACTCATAGAGAGCCTATTGAGACCCTATAGAGACTCATAGAGACTCATAGACACCCATAGACACCCATAGAGACCCTATTGAGACTCATAGAGACCCTATAAAGACTCATAGAGACTCATAGTGACCCTATAGAGACCCTATAGAGACCCATAGAGACCTATAGAGACTCATAGAGACCCATAGAGACTCATAGACACCTATAGAGACTCATAGACACTCATAGCGACACATAGAGACCCTATAGAGACCCTATAGAGACCCTATAGAGACTCATAGAAACACAGTGACCCTGTAGAGACACATAGAGACCCATAGAGACTCATAGAGACCCATAGAGACACATAGAGACCCTATAGAGACTCATAGAGACCCATAGAGACTCAAAGAGACCCATAGTGACCCATAGAGACTCATAGAAACACATAGTGACCCTGTAGAGACACATAGAGACCCATAGAGACCCTATAGAGACACATAGAGACCCTATAGAGAAACAGTGACCCTATAGAGACTAATAGAGACACATAGATACCCTATAGAGACACATAGTGACCCTATAGAGACTCATAGAGACACATATAGATCCTATAGAGACCCATAGAGACCCTTTAGAGACACATAGATACCCTATAGAGACACATAGTGACCCTATAGAGACTCATAGAGACCCTATAGAGACTCATAGTTACACAGTGACCCTATAGAGACTCATAGAGACAAATAGAGATCCTATAGAGACCTTATAGAGATGTAGTAGTCGTAGATGGAGACGGAGTCGTGGCACGAATTAAACACTTTCATTGATGTCCTTAACAACGATTCCCTTGGTCCTTAACACGAAGGTGGTAACGGCCCCATTCTACCTACAACCTAGGGAGGTACAGCCTCCATGCTAGCTTACTCTAGCGTTGGGTCTGACTACTGCTCTAGCCCTCCGGCTAGCCGGACCTAGGGGAGGCTGACCCACCGCTGGCACCGGTGGGTCTTCGACCACTGGCTCGTCCACACCCGTCCCTGAGAAGGACGTCGGGCTGAGGGAACCTCAGGGTCCTTAGCCTGCTGATCACTGGCACCACACTGAGCCCCGGCCCTCAGAAGGACGTCGGGCCTTGGGGGACCAGGATCTCCTCTTCAGGCGGCTCCACGCCTTCGGCTTGAGACCAACTCCCCGCTCTGGTCTCAGGAGCCCGCCTTTTATACCATCTCCCCTCAGGAGAGGCGCTGGCCACAGGGAGCCCAACAATCTGTGCTTGTTCGACCCCACTTTCTGTCTAGGACCAGGGTTCTAGGGGATCCCACACACACACACTTCACAGCCTCCACCCCTCGGGCGGGGTCTCAATCAGGGTTATGAATGACCCCGCTCTAGTAGGTACTGTGTAGCGTGTGCGTGTTTACAGAGTGACCATCACAGAGACACAGTGACCCTATAGAGACTCATAGAGACTCAGAGAGACCCTATAGAGACCCTATAGAGACCCTATAGAGACCCTATAGAGACCCTATAGAGACCCTATAGAGACCCTATAGAGACTCATAGAGATACATAGAGACCCTATAGAGACCCTATAGAGACTCATAGAGACTCATAGAGACCCTATAAATACTCATAGAGACTCATAGAGACACTATAGAGACTCATAGAGACCCTATAGAGACTCATAGAGACTCATAAAGACCCTATAGGGACCCTATAGAGACTCATAGCGACACATAGATACCCTATAAAGACTCATAGAGACTCATAGAGACACTAAAGAGACTCATAGAGACCCTATAGAGACTCATAGAGACCATAAAGAGACCCTATAGAGACTCATAGCGACACATAGAGACCCTATAGAGACTCATAGAGACACACAGATATCCTATAGAGACCCTATAGAGACTCATAGAGACCCTATAGAGACTCATAGAGACACATAGAGACCCTATAGAGACTCATAGAGACCCTATAGAGACCCTATAGAGACTCATAGCGACACATAGAGACCCTATAGAGACTCATAGAGACCCATAGAGACCCTATAGAGACCCTATAGAGACTCATAGCGACACGTAGAGACCCTATAGAGACTCATAGAGACACACAGATATCCTATAGAGACCCTATAGAGACTCATAGAGACCCTATAGAGACTCATAGAGACACTTAGTGACCCTATTGAGACTCATAGAGACCCTATAGAGACTCATAGCGACACATAGAGACCCTATAGAGACTCATAGAGACCCATAGAGACCCTATAGAGACCCTATAGAGACTCATAGCGACACATAGAGACCCTATAAAGACTCATAGAGACTCATAGAGACACTATAGAGACTCATAGAGACCCTAAAGAGACCCTATAGAGACTCATAGCGACACATAGAGACCCTATAGAGACTCATAGAGACTCATAGAGACACACAGATATCCTATAGAGACCCTATAGAGACTCATAGAGACCCTATAGAGACTCATAGCGACACATAGAGACCCTATAGAGACTCATAGAGACCCATAGAGACTCATATACACCCTATAGAGACTCATAGAGACTCATATAGACACACAGATATCCTATAGAGACCCAATAGAGACTCATAGAGACCCTATAGAGACTCATAGAGACACATAGAGACCCTATAGAGACTCATAGAGACCCTATAGAGAACCTATAGAGACTCATAGCGACACATAGAGACCCTATAGAGACTCATAGCGACACATAGAGACCCTATAGAGACTCATAGAGACCCATAGAGACTCATAGAGACCCTATAGAGACCCTATAGAGACTCATAGGGACCCCCCCCCTCCCCCCCCCACAGCAGTGTCTGCAGGCTGCCCAGCTCCGTATCGCTGCTAACTTTGCTCTGCACCGTGAGCTGCTGCTGGCGGCGGAGCTGCGGGCGGCGTCCCGGGCCCGGGCCGAGGCCGCCCGGGCCGCGAGGGCGCTGGGAGGCGCCGCCGCCGCCCGCCGGCTTCACGTCGCTCGCCTTGAGGGGCGCCTGGCCCGGCTACACCACGCACGGCGGTCACGTGGACCCCTGTCACTGCTGCGGGTGAGGTGGTGGTGGTGGTGATGGTGGTGGTGGTGGGGGTGGTGGTGGGGGTGGTGGTGGTGGTGGGGGTGGTGGTGGTGTGGCTCTTCTTCTGAACAAAAGAATGAAGGGGGCGTGGGAGCGTGGCGGTGAGGTGTGGGCAGCTGTAAGTCCCAGGCTACTTTGGGCTCGCCTTCACATAAACCACACAACATCATGGATGCATGCCGGGTCCAAGCAAGAACATCTGCTGGACTACATAGTGACGGACCAGCGAATGCGAGCCCATGTCCTTGACACCAGGACCTACCGTGGAGCTGATCTGCCCTCTGACCATCGACTAGTGATCTGTAAGATGCGCCTGCATTCTTCCACTCCGGTGGTGGGTGTACACCCAGGACCCCATTCCAACCTAAAGTGGCCTGGTCTCAGTTATCTGATGAAAGTTGCAAGCGAGAATTTCATCATCGCTTGCGGCTGGGATTGGCATCGTCCCAGACTCCTCCTGATGTCGAGGGTAAATGGGCGAGGTTTAGGACTGTGACTCATGCAGCTGCAATGGCTGCTTTGGGTACCCGGTCCAGGCCTCCCCGGAGACCCTGGCTGACAGAGGAGGTGTTCAGGATGGTTGAGAAAAAGCGACAGACCCACTGTCATCGGCTACAGAATCCCACGTCAGAGAATGAGGAGGCTTACCGCAGCCTTCGCTCGGAGGTTCGGAGAGCCGTGAGGCGCTGCAAGGATGGGTGGTGGTCGCGGGTTGCTGAGGAGATGGAGTCTGCCTCAGTGGCCCATGATCACAAATCTCTATGCAGCGCCACACCTATTACCATCATTAGGGGAAAAAACGGTGACCCAATCTCCGAACCCCAGGAACAGGTTTGCAGATTTGCTGAGCATTTCTGTGAGGTCCTGGGGGAGGGAAAATCCCTCAGCCAGGAAAACATCGTGGCACAACGTGAGGATGACCCTGCTGAGGCTGCGGTGCCTCAAATATTGGAAGAAGTCACCCGCTGTGAGTGGCTGGCTGAGGTGCCATCTGTTGAGGAAGTACTGAAGGCGATCCGGAGTCTGAGACCAGGAAAGGCAGCAGGCAGAGATGATCTCCCAAGCGAAATGCTGAGGGAGGGCGGCGTTTGTGCACAGACTGCCCTATATGACATCATAACAACAGTCTGGACCACTGGACGGGTTCCGCAGGATTGGAAGGATGCCCTGGTGGTCCCCCTTTTTAAGAAGAGGGACCGCACAGGCAGTAACAACTACAGAGGCATCTCACTCCTCAGTGTGCCTGGAAAGGTCCTGGCAAGGATTATTCAACATCGCCTTGCCAGGCACGCTGAGGAGAGGCTTGCGGAGCCCCAATGCGGTTTCAGGAAAGGGCGCTCCTGCACAGATGCCATATTTTCTGTCTGTCTGCTACAGCAGAGGTGTAAGGAATTCCAACAAGACCTACATCTCTGCTTTATTGACCTGGGCAAGACCTATGATACATCAGTAGGCCTGGGCTCTGGGTTGTTCTTCGTGCTTTTGGAGTACCTGACCCTCTGCTCACGATCATTAAAGACCTGCATGATGGTGAGCAGGCCCGGGTAAAACTACGTGGCCGGGAGTCAGAGCCATTCCCTGTTAAACTTGGGGTGCGACAGGGATGTCCTCTGGCTCCCACATTATTTAACATCTGTTTTGACCACTTAGTTCGTGAAGCCTTCAATAGCTGTACCGGGGGAATCTCCATATGGTACAGATATAATGGGAGGCTGATCGACGCCCAGGTGCGGTGAAGGGATGGCTCCCTATTGCTCAACCACGTTATGTATGCTGATGATTTGGTAATAGCTGCACATTCGGAGGAGGAGTTGGAGACGCTGCTGCTGAGACTGGAGCATGCCACTAAGAGGTGGGGCCTTACCATCAGCCCCACCAAAACTAAGCACCTGCCTGGGTATTTTGTACCATCGGACACTCCACCCCCACAACTCCCAATCGGTGATGGGGCAGTTGTGGAGAGAGTGGAGAGTTTCCCTTACCTGGGCAGTGCGCTTATGACTTGCTCCAGTTTAACAGCAGAGGTCTCACTCCAAATCAGTCGAGCGGCAATATCTTTTCATCGGTTGCGTAACGCTGTGTGGAAGCTACGTGGTCTGTCGCTCCCCACTAAGCTTCAGTTCTTCTCGGCCATGGTCATTCCCTCCCTTCTCTACGCTTGCGAAACGTGGCCCCCCCTAATGGAACATCTTCGCCGGTTAGAAACATTTAGGCTGGCCTGCCTACGATCCATCCTGGGTTTAACCAGACTGGATTGTGTGAGGAGCTCAAAAATCCTTGAAAGATCTGGGCAAGGTCCCATCGGTGAGCTCCTCCGGCGGGGAAGGCTGCGATGGCTGGGTCATGTAGCCCGCATGCCCAGCCACCGCATGCCGAAACAGCTTTTGTTCGGCCGGATTGAGGGGGCTAAGCGGGCGCGGCACGGGCTAGAGAAGAGATGGAGTGATGTGGTACAGGAGGACGTGGAGCTGAGTGGACTTGCCGATGACTGGTACCAGCGGTGTCAAGATCGGCCTCTGTGGAGGAGGCTCGTGAAGGACGCTGCTGGGCAGTTGGAGGCAATCGCCCTCTAACAACAATGGAGGGCGAGGAGCGATGCACACAACAACGAGCGGAGCACCGGGTGGCTAAAGCTCAGCAGGTTGGCACAGTAGGGGGCACAGGTGGTGCATCAGCCAGTCATCTCAGTCAGTCGACCCGTGGAACCTGCTGGGTCTGCCCCTTGACCTCCTGCCAGCGGGCATTCGACACTTCATGTGGTCTCAAGGTGCACTTAGCCTGGCAGAAGCGTCGTGGTGACGTCACCGCCACTTAGTGGCGAATGGCGGTTGTTGTAGTTGGAGGTGGTGGAGGTGGTGGTAGCGGTGGTGCCGACAGCACAGAACACCCAAGCCGTTATCAAGTGAAGTATCCTCTCCACCACAACCACCACCACCACCTCTGCCACCTCCACCACGTCCACCACCACCGCCACCTGATCCACCACCACCGCCACCGCGTCCGTGCAGTGAAGTGAAGTGAATGGAGTAGTGACCGGTTGCTCTGTCCGCTTCTCTCTGCCTCTGTCGCAGCATCTGGAGGACGCCTCCCTCTGGTGAGTTCACAACACCGGGACGACGCTTCCCACTCATCTCCCTCTCATCTCCCTCCCCCCTCGTCTCCCTCCCGCTCATCTCCCTCTCATCTCACTCCCCCCCCCTCGTCTCCCTCCCACTCATCTCCCTCTCATCTCCCCCCCTAGCCTCCCTCCCACTCATCTGCCTCTCATCTCCCCCCCCTTGTCTCCCTCCCACTCATCTCCCTCTCATCTCCCCCCCCTCGTCTCCCTCCCACTCATCTCCCTCTCATCTCCCCCCCTCGTCTCTCTCCTGCTCATCTCCCTCTCATCTCCCTCCCCCCCTTACATCTCCAGACCGCCCACTCGTCTCCCCCCCCCCGCTCTACTGACTCTGTAGCAGTATCTACTGACTCTACAGTAGTATCTACTGACTCTACAGTAGTATCTACTGACTCTGTAGTATCTACTGACACTACAGTAGTATCTACTGACTCTATAGTAGTATCTACTGACTCTATAGTAGTATCTACTGACTCTACAGTAGTATCTACTGACACTACAGCAGTATCTACTGACACTACAGTAGTATCTACTGACTCTATAGTAGTATCTACTGACTCTACAGTAGTATCTACTGACTCTATAGTAGTATCTACTGACTCTATAGTAGTATCTACTGACACTACAGTAGTATCTACTGACACTACAGTAGTATCTACTGACACTACAGTAGTATCCACTGACACTACAGTAGTATCTACTGACTCTATAGTAGTATCTACCGACTCTACAGTAGTATCTACTGACACAACAGTAGTATCTACTGACACTACAGTAGTATCTACTGACTCTATAGTAGTATCTACTGACTCTACAGTAGTATCTACTGACACTATAGTAGTATCTACTGACTCTATAGTAGTATCTACTGACTCTACAGTAGTATCTACCGACTCTAGAGTAGTATCTACTGACACTACAGGAGTATCTACTGACTCTACAGTAGTATCTACTGACACTACAGTAGTATCTACTGACTCTATAGTAGTATCTACTGACTCTACAGTAGTATCTACTGACTCTACAGTAGTATCTACTGACTCTATAGTAGTATCTACTGACTCTACAGTAGTATCTACTGACTCTATAGTAGTATCTACTGACACTACAGTAGTATCTACTGACTCTATAGTAGTATCTACTGACTCTGTAGTAGTACCTACTGACTCTACAGTAGTATCTACTGACTATATAGTAGTATCTACTGACTCTGTAGTAGTATCTACTGACTCTATAGTAGTATCTACTGACTCTACAGTAGTATCTACTGACTCTTTAGTAGTATCTACTGACTCTATAGTAGTATCTACTGACACTACAGTAGTATCTACCGACTCTACAGTAGTATCTACTGACACTACAGTAGTATCTACTGACACTACAGTAGTATCTACTGACTCTATAGTAGTATCTACTGACTCTACAGTAGTATCTACTGACTCTACAGTAGTATCTACTGACTCTATAGTAGTATCTACTGACACTACAGTAGTATCTACTGACTCTATAGTAGTATCTACTGACTCTGTAGTAGTATCTACTGACTCTACAGTAGTATCTACTGACTCTACAGTAGTATCTACTGACTCTATAGTAGTATCTACTGACACTACAGTAGTATCTACTGACTCTATAGTAGTATCTACTGACTCTGTAGTAGTATCTACTGACTCTACAGTAGTATCTACTGACTATATAGTAGTATCTACTGACTCTGTAGTAGTATCTACTGACACTACAGTAGTATCTACTGACTCTATAGTAGTATCTACTGACTCTACAGTAGTATATACTGACTCTACAGTAGTATCTACTGACTCTATAGTAGTATCTACTGACTCTATAGTAGTATCTACTGACTCTACCGTAGTATATACTGACTCTATAGCAGTATCTACTGACTCTATAGTAGTGTATCTTCTGACACTACAGTAGTATCTACTGACTCTACAGTAGTATCTACTGACTCTGTAGTAGTATCTACTGACACTACAGTGGTATCTACTGACTCTACAGTAGGATCTACTGACACTATAGTAGTAACTACTGACTCTACAGTAGTATCTACTGACACTACACTAGTATCTACTGACTCTGTAGTAGTATCTACTGACTCTACAGTGGTATCTACTGACTCTGTAGTAGTATCTACTGACAGTACATTAGTATCTACTGACTTTATGGTAGTATCTACTGACTATATAGTAGTATCTACTGACACTACATTAGTATCTACTGACTCTATAGTAGTATCTACTGACTCTACAGTAGTATCTACTGACTCTATAGTAGTATCTACTGACTCTACCGTAGTATATACTGACTCTGTAGTAGTATCTACTGACTCTACAGTACTATCTACTGACTCTGTAGTAGTATCTACTGACACTACAGTAGTATATACTGACTCTACAGTAGTATCAACTGACTGTATAGTAGTATCTACTGACACTATAGTAGTATCTACTGACGCTGTAGTAGTATCTACTGACTCTACAGTAGTGTCTACTGACTCTGTAGTAGTATCTACTGACACTACAGTAGTATCTACTGACTCTACAGTAGTATCAACTGACTGTATAGTAGTATCTACTGACACTATAATAGTATCTACTGACTCTGTAGTAGTATCTACTGACTCTACAGTAGTATCTACTGACTCTACAGTAGTATCAACTGACTGTATAGTAGTATCTACTGACTCTATGATAGTATCTGCCGACTCTATAATAGTATATATCGACTCTATTATAGTATCTACCGACTCTATAGTAGTATATATCGTCTCTATGATAGTATCTACCGACTCTATAATAGTATATATCGACTCTATGATAGTATATACCGACTCTATAATAGTATATATCGACTCTATGATAGTATATACCGACACTATAGTAGTATATATCGACTCTATGATAGTATCTACCGACTCTATAATAGTATATATCGACTCTATGATAGTATATATCGACTCTATAATAGTATATATCGACTCTATGATAGTATCTACCGACTCTATAATAGTATATATCGACTCTATGATAGTATCTATCGACTCTATAATAGTATATATCGACTCTATGATAGTATCTACCGACTCTATAATAGTATATATCGACTCTATGATAGTATCTGTCGACTCTATAATAGTATATATCGACTCTATGATAGTACCTACCGACTCTATAATAGTATATATCGACTCTATGATAGTATCTACCGACTCTATAATAGTATATATCGAATCTATGATAGTATCTACCAACTCTATAGTAGTATATAACGACTCTATGATAGTATCTACCGACTCTATAATCGTATATATCGACTGTATGATAGTATCTACCGACTCTATAATAGTATATATCGACTCTATGATAGTATCTACCGACTCTATAATAGTATATATCGACTGTATGATAGTATCTACCGACTCTATAATAATATATATCGACTCTATGATAGTATCTACCGACTCTATAATAGTATATATCGACTCTATGATAGTATCTCGCGAGACCTAGTCCCGCGGAGAGCCCCCGGCCGCTCGACTGATTCGGAGTGAGACCTCTGCTGTTAAACTGGAGCCAGTCATAAGCACACTGCCCAGGTATGGGAAACTCTCCACTCTCTCCACAACTGCCCCATCACCGATTGGGAGTTGTGGGGGTGGAGTGTCCGATCGTACAAAATACCCAGGCAGGTGCTTAGTTTTGGTGGGGCTGATGGTAAGGCCCCACCTCTTAGTGGCACGCTCCAGTCTCAGCAGCAGCGTCTCCAACTCCTCCTCTGAATGAACAGCATACATAACGTGGTTGAGCAATAGGGAGCCATCCCTTGACCGCACCCGGGCATCGATCAGCCTCCCATTATATCTGTACCAAATGGAGATTCCCCCGGTACAGCTATTGAAGGCTTCACGAACTACGTGGTCAAAATAGATGTTAAATAATGTGGGAGCCAGAGGACATCCCTGTCGCACCCCAAGGTGTACAGGGAATGGCTCTGACTCCCGGCCACGTAGTTTTACCCGGGCCCGCTCACCATCATGAAGGTCCTTAATGATCGTGAGCAGGGGGTCAGGGACACCAAAAGCACGAAGAACTACCCAGAGCCCAGGCCTACTGATGGTTTTCATAGGCCTTGACCAGGTCAATAAAGCAAAGATGTAGGTCTTGCTGGAATTCCCTACACCTCTGCTGTAGCAGACGGACAGAAAATATGGCATCTGTGCAGGACCGCCCTTTCCTGAAACCGCATTGGGGCTCCGCAAGCCTCTCCTCAGCGTTCCTGGCAAGGCGATGTTGAATAATCCTTGCCAGGACCTTTCCCGGCACACTGATGAGTGAGATGCCCCTGTAGTTGTTACAGTCTGTGCGGTCGCCCTTCTTAAAGAGGGGGACCACTAGGGCATCCTTCCAATCCTGTGGAACCCTTCCAGTGGTCCAGACTGTTGTTATGATGTCATATAGGGCAGTCTTTGCACAAACGCCACGCTCCCTCAGCATTTAGCTTGGGAGATCATCTCTGCCCGCTGACTTTCCTGGTCTCAGACTCCGGATTGCCTTCAGTACTTCCTCAACAGATGGCACCTCAGCCAGCCACTCAGAGGGGGTGACTTCTTCCAACATTTGAGGCACCACAGCCTCAGCAGGGCCATCCCCACTTTGTACCACGATGTTTTCCCGGCTGAGGGATTTTTCCTCCCCCAGGACCTCACAGAAATGCTCAGCAAATGTGCAAACCTGTTCCTGGGGGTCGGAGATTGGATCACCGTTTTTTTCCCCTAATGATGGTAATAGGTGTGGTGCTGCAGGCTACTATTTTGATTGAGTTAAATAGAGATTTGTGATTGCGGGCCACTGAGGCAGACTCCATCTCCTCAGCAACCCGCGACCACCACCCATCATTGCAGTGCCTCACGGCTCTCCGAACCTCCGAGCGAAGGCTGCGGTAAGCCGCCTCATTCTCTGATGTGGGATTCTGTAGCCGATGACAGTGGGCCTGTCGCTTTTTCTCAACTATCCTGAACACCTCCTCTGTCAGCCAGGGTCTCTGGGGAGGTCTAGACCGCGTACCCAACGCAGCCAATGCAGCTGCATGAGTGACAGTCCTAAACTTCGCCCATTTAAACTCGATATCAGGAGGAGTGGGAGAAGATGCCAACCCCAGCCACAAGCGATGATGAAATTCTCGCTTGCAACTTTCATCAGATAACTGAGACCAGGCCACTTTAGGTTGGAATGGGGTCCTGGGTGTACACCCACCACCGGAGCGGAAGAATGGCAGGCGCATCTTACAGATGACAAGTCGATGGTCAGAGGGCACATCAGCTCCACGGTAGGTCCTTGTGTCCAGGACATGGGCTCGCATCCGCTGGTCCGTCACTATGTAGTCCAGCAGATGTTCTTGCTTGGACCCGACATGCATCCATGATGTTGTGTGGATGCGCTGATGCTGGAACAGCGTGTTGGTAATTACAAGCCCATGGGCTGCACAAAAATCTAGCAACCTCCTACCGTTGTTATTGTGCTGATCTGGCCCATGCCCTCCAATCACTCCAGACCAGGTGCCAGCATCATGACCAACTCGGGCATTGAAGTTACCCAACAAGATGACTCTATCCCGAGGGGCCACTTTAGCCAGCACCTGTGATAGGAGGTCATAGAAGGCATCTGACTCATCGGCTCTGCCTGCATCCCTCCACGGATGTTCGTCTTCGGTGGGGGCATAAGTAACCACGACCACCATTCCTCGCCTCCAGGTTGATGGGAAGGCGAGCCCAAAGTAGCCTGGGGCTTACAGCTTCCCACACCTCACCGCCACGCTCCCACGCCCCCTTCATTCTTTTGTTCAAAAGAAGAGCCACACCCTGTTGTTTGGCAGTCTGCTGCCCTGAGTAGAGGACTGTCCACCCCTCATGGTGGCAGGAGCCAGAACCGGTCCACCTGACCTCCTGAATTGAGGCTGAGTCGACCTAGGGGAGGCCCAGGACCGGTTCAGATAATCGTCACCAATGTTGGCCGTGAGCGGGAATCGAACCCGGGTCGCCGGGTTCATAGCACAGCGCGTTAACCACTACACTACCGCTCCCCACATACACACACACACAGACACACACAGACACACACAGACACACACAGAGACACACACAACATGACTTGTGTGTGTGTCTGTGTGAGAGTATTCACGAGGCCTCGTGAATACTCGAGAGTACTCGCAAGGACTCGCGAGTATCATCATCGTCATCATCGTCATTGTCGTCATCGTCGTCGTCATCATCGCCGTCATCGTCATCATCGTCATCATCATCGTTATCATCGTCATCATCATCATCATCGTCATCATCATCATAATCGTCGTCATCATCGTCATCATCATCGTCATCATCGTCGTCATCGTCGTCATCGTCATCATCGTCTTCATCGTCATCATCATTGTCATCATCGTTATCATCGTCATCATCATCATAATCATCGTCATCATCGTCATCATCATCGTCATCATCGTCGTCATCGTCGTCATCGTCATCATCATCGTCATCGTCGTCATCGTCATCATCATTGTCATCGTCATCATCGTCGTCATCGTCGTCATCGTCATCATCATTGTCATCGTCATCGTCATCGTCGTCATCGTCATCATCGTCGTCATCGTCATCATCATTGTCATCGTCATCATCATTGTCATCATCATCGTTATCATCGTCATCATGATCACAATCATCGTCATCATCATCATAATCGTCGTCATCGTCGTCGTCATCATCGTTAGCATCGTCACGATCATAATAATCATCAGCGTCATCATCGTTATCGTGAAGCGTCGTCGTCTTAGTCCTCGTCACACCCCCGCCCGCCCGCCCGGCCAGGGAGTCCACGTGCTCTCCGTGGATGTCTCTGGACGCGTCCCGTCTGCTCCTGTGGAGCCGCCTCGACCCCGGGGCGATTTGCTCGTCGGCAGGAATCGGCTTCGAGCATCTCCACTCCCTCCTCGTCAGCACCTGTACGTTGCCATTCACTCCATCTTTTATTTAAAGGAAAAAAAAACTACGACAAGTGCTGCATCTGCAGGCGGTCGTAACGGCCTCCGACGGGTAGCTCATGTCTGCATGTAGAGGTCGCCGGCTCTTCTCTCACTCACAGTGGGAGGGTGGGGTTAGTGGGGGGGTTAGTGGGAGGGTAAGTGGGAGGTTAGTGGGGGCGGTGAGGAGGGAGGGAGGGTGATTAGTGGGTGGGGGGTTAGTGGGGGTGGGGGGCAGACCCAGTCTCTATTGAATTCTAGAGAGACCGGGGCTTAGGAGAGGGAGTGGAGGGATTGGAGGGAGGGGAGGGAGAAGAGGGGAGGGAGAAGAGGGGAGGGAGAGGGGAGGTTGAGAGAGGAGGTTGAGAGAGGAGGTTGAGAGAGGAGGTTGAGAGAGGAGGTTGAGAGAGGAGATTGAGAGAGGAGGTTGAGAGAGGAGGTTGAGAGAGGAGGTTGAGAGAGGAGGTTGAGAGAGGAGGTTGAGAGAGGAGGTTGAGAGAGGAGGTTGAGAGAGGAGGTTGAGAGAGGAGGTTGAGAGAGGAGGTTGAGAGAGGAGGTTGAGAGAGGAGGTTGAGAGAGGAGGTTGAGAGAGGAGGTTGAGAGAGGAGGTTGAGAGAGGAGGTTGAGAGAGGAGGTTGAGAGAGGAGGTTGAGAGAGGAGGTTGAGAGAGGAGGTTGAGAGAGGAGGTTGAGAGAGGAGGTTGAGAGAGGAGGTTGAGAGAGGAGGTTGAGAGAGGAGGTTTGAGAGAGGAGGTTGAGAGAGGAGGTTGAGAGAGGAGGTTGAGAGAGGAGGTTGAGAGAGGAGGTGAGAGAGGAGGTTGAGAGAGGAGGTTGAGAGAGGAGGTTGAGAGAGGAGGTTGAGAGAGGAGGTGAGAGAGGAGGTTGAGAGAGGAGGTTGAGAGAGGAGGTTGAGAGAGGAGGTTGAGAGAGGAGGTTGAGAGAGGAGGTTGAGAGAGGAGAGAGGAGGTTGAGAGAGGAGGTTGAGAGAGGAGGTTGAGAGAGGAGGTTGAGAGAGGAGGTGAGAGAGGAGGTGAGAGAGGAGGTTGAGAGAGGAGGTTGAGAGAGGAGGTTGAGAGAGGAGGTTGAGAGAGGAGGTTGAGAGAGGAGGTTGAGAGAGGAGGTTGAGAGAGGAGGTTGAGAGAGGAGGTTGAGAGAGGAGGTTGAGAGAGGAGGTTGAGAGAGGAGGTTGAGAGAGGAGGTTGAGAGAGGAGGTTGAGAGAGGAGGTGAGAGAGGAGGTTGAGAGAGGAGGTTGAGAGAGGAGGTTGAGAGAGGAGGTTGAGAGAGGAGGTTGAGAGAGGAGGTTGAGAGAGGAGGTTGAGAGAGGAGGTTGAGAGAGGAGGTTGAGAGAGGAGGTTTGAGAGAGGAGGTGAGAGAGGAGGTTGAGAGAGGAGGTTGAGAGAGGAGGTTGAGAGAGGAGGTTGAGAGAGGAGGTTGAGAGAGGAGGTTGAGAGAGGAGGTTGAGAGAGGAGGTTGAGAGAGGAGGTTGAGAGAGGAGGTTGAGAGAGGAGGTTGAGAGAGGAGGTTGAGAGAGGAGGTTGAGAGATGAGGTTGAGAGAGGAGGTTGAGAGAGGAGGTTGAGAGAGGAGGGTGAGAGAGGAGGTTGAGAGAGGAGGTTGAGAGAGGAGGTTGAGAGAGGAGGTTGAGAGAGGAGGTTGAGAGAGGAGGTTGAGAGAGGAGGTTGAGAGAGGAGGTTGAGAGAGGAGGTTGAGAGAGGAGGTTGAGAGAGGAGGTTGAGAGAGGAGGTTGAGAGAGGAGGTTGAGAGAGGAGGTTGAGAGAGGAGGTTGAGAGAGGAGGTTGAGAGAGGAGGTTGAGAGAGGAGGTTGAGAGAGGAGGTTGAGAGAGGAGGTTGAGAGAGGAGGTTGAGAGAGGAGGTTGAGAGAGGAGGTTGAGAGAGGAGGTTGAGAGAGGAGGTTGAGAGAGGAGGTTGAGAGAGGAGGTTGAGAGAGGAGGTTGAGAGAGGAGGTTGAGAGAGGAGGTTGAGAGAGGAGGTTGAGAGAGGAGGTTGAGAGAGGAGGTTGAGAGAGGAGGTTGAGAGAGGAGGTTGAGAGAGGAGGTTGAGAGAGGAGGTTGAGAGAGGAGTGAGTGGAAGGAGGGGCAGAAGGGAGGTTGAGAGGAGTGAGTGGAGTGAGAGGAGTGAGAAGAGTGAGAGGAGTGAGAAGAGTGAGCGGAGTGAGAGGAGTGAGTGGAGTGAGAGGAGTGAGAGGAGTGAGTGAATGAGAGGAGTGAGTGAGGTGAGCGGAGTGAGAGGAGTGAGTGGGGTGAGAGGAGTGAGTGGGGTGAGAGGAGTGAGTGGGGTGAGAGGAGTGAGTGGGGTGAGAGGAGTGAGTGGCGTGAGAGGAGTGAGAGGAGTGGGGTGAGAGGAGTGGAGGGAGTGGAGTGAGAGGAGTGAGCGGAGTGAGAGGAGTGAAAGGAGTGGAGTGGAGGTGACAACCGTACCCAAGTCCTCTGGCCCCTCGTCTCTACCCCCACCCCCCACCACACCAGACGGCCGCTCCCCGACCCTGAACCCCAACTCGGCCCACCGCAGCCTCCTCCTCTCGGCCGACCTCCGCTCGGCGTCGCTGGCGCTCGACCCCCCGCGCCGGCCGGCCCACCGCGACCGCTTCGACGTCCTCCCGCAGGCGCTCGCCGCCCGGGGCTTCTCGTCGGGCCGCCACTACTGGGAGGCGGACGTCGGCGGCGCCCGCGGCTGGCGCCTCGGCGCCGCCTACGGCTCGCTGGCGCGCAAGGGCGGCGGAGGCGGCGGTGGCGGCGGCGACGGGCGGCTCGGGCGGGGCGGGGACTCGTGGTGCCTCGAGAGCTGGGCCGGGGCGCTCGCCGCCTGGCACGGCGACGTGGAGGTCGCCGTGCGGGACGCCGGCGGAGGCGACGGCGGTGACGGCGGCGGTGACGGCGGCGGCTCGGCCAGGATCGGCGTCTACCTGGACTACGAGCGGGGCCTGCTGGCGTTCTACAGCGTCGGCTCCATGACGCTGCTGCACTCGTTCGGTGGTGGTGGTGCCGGCGGTGGTGGTGGTGGCGGTGGTGCCGGTAGTGCCGGCGGTGGTGGTGGTGGTGGCGGTGGTGCCGGTGCCGGTGGTGGCGGTGCGTTCACGCAGCGGCTGTACCCCGCGATCGGACTCTGGATTGGATCGCTGGCGCTGTGCGAGTTGCCCTGACGTGCGTGTGTGTGGTGTGTGTAGTGTAGTGTGTGTAGTGTGTGTGTAGTGTGTGTAGTGTAGTGTGTATAGTGTGTGTAGTGTGTGTAGTGTATGTCTGTAGTGTGTCGTGTACTGGTGCGTGTGTAGTGTGTGTAGTTTGTGTAGTGTGTGTGTAGTGTGTGTGTAGTGTGTGTGTAGTGTGTGTGTAGTGTGTGTGTAGTGTGTGTGTATAGTGTGTGTGTGTAGTGTGTGTATAGTGTGTGTGTGTAGTGTGTGTGTAGTGTGTGTGTGGTGTGTATGTGTATAGTGTGTGTGTGTAGTGTGTGCGTATAGTGTGTATAGTGTGTGTAGTGTATAGTGTGTGTAGTGTGTGTGTATAGTGTGTGCGTGTATAGTGTGTGCGTGTGTGTGTATAGTGTGTGTGTGTAGTGTGTGTATAGTGTGTGTGTAGTGTATCTGTATAGTGTGTGCGTGTGTATAGTGTGTGTGTAGTGTGTGTGTATAGTGTGTGCATGTGTGTATTTGTGTGTAGTATGTGTGTGTAGTGTGTGTGTATAGTGTGCGAGTGTGTGTGTAGTGTGTGTGTATAGTGTGTGTAGTGTGTATGTAGTGTGTAAATAGTGTGTGTGTAGTGTGTATAGTGTGTGTAGTGTGTATGTGTGTGTAGTGTGTGTGTGTGTATAGTGTGTATAGTGTGTGTATGTGTGTGTAGTGTGTGTATGTGTGTGTATAGTGTGTGTGTATAGTGCAGTGTGTGTATAGTGCAGTGTGTGTATAGTGCAGTGTGTGTATAGTGTGTAGTGTGTGTATGTGTGTGTGTAGTGTGTATAGTGTGTGTGTGTCTGTGTGTAGTGTGTGTATAGTGTGTGTGTGTATAGTGTGTATCGTGTGTGTATGTGTGTGTTGTGTGTGTGTAGTGTGTATATAGTGCAGTGTGTGTATAGTGTGTGTATGTGTGTGTATAGTGTGTGTATAGTGTGTATAGTGTGTGTGTGTCTGTGTGTAGTGTCTGTGTGTAGTGTGTGCCGGACGGGCAACTCTTTTCGTGGACAATGCTGTGGGGGGAGGACCAATTCCGATTGGCTCCTCCCCTCATGGCGTCTGTGACCACCACAGTGGCTAAACGGGGGCTCTGGACGGGTGCGAGGGGCTGGTAACTCCTCCATCTTCAATAAATTACCACTAAACCACGAATTAAACTTGTAACTAATAAGCTTGTGCCGGAGGCCCCGGGGGGCCAGGCGTCTATGACGTCTCCTGGCCAAACCCCAATTGGCGGAGCCAGGAGATTGAATATCCAGAAACAACGCAAAGGCAAAATTTAGATTTAAAGCTTTCGTGACTGCAGGGATTCACATTCTTGGTTCTTTCGGTTAAAGTCACCGCCACGTAGAAGGGAAACAATAAAATAATAAAAATATAAAACAATAAAATTATTATATTCTTAGTTTTTTCGGTAAAGTCACGTTGAAGAGAAACAACAAAATAACAAAATATATATAAAACAATAAAAAATTCTCACGACGTTTCGACCATAACTCAAACGGTCATCATCAGGTGTGTTGGTTTGCATAAATGTATTTTTAAACGGCGCATTTATTTATTTATAAAAAAACGTTGGCGTCATGCGCAGCGATTTGGCAGTTTGCCCAGGACTAGTCCATCTAAATTTTGAAAAGAGGAGGGGGGAGACGAAATTTTTTATAATGTATGTTGTCTGAAAGCCACTGTAAGCGTGAACAATCAATTAAGAACTGAAATGGTTTATCAAATCTTTCCAATGATTGCTAAGATAGAATCCATCTTCTCGGTTGAAATTGTCTCTGTGCTTGTATATGTGGATAGCCTCATGAACGAATCTCTCATGGAAGCCAGATGGCTTACAAAGAACCTCTGTCTTGGAAAAGTCAATGGCATGTGAGCCTACTGAATTAGAACAATGATCTGCTACGGCCGAGGTGTTGGTCCTACCGTGTTTAAGGTCTGCTTTGTGTTCACGAATGCGGTCCGAGACATGGCGTTTGGTTTCTCCAATGTAACTACTACCACAGAGGCAACTTAGTTTGTAGACACCAGGGTATTGTATGTCCGGAATCACATATTTTACAGACGGAACCAGATCACGGATTTTATGTAATGTGTTGAAACGGACCTGGATCTTGTGTTTATTCAAGATTTTGGATATCTTTTTTGTGATCCCAGCAATGTAGGGTAAAGTGATGGTTTTGAAAGGCTCCTCAAGAGGGTTCTTCTTCATGGTTTGAGTGATAGCTTTGCGGATTGTATAGTCGGAGTAACCATTAGCCCTAAGAGCTTGGTGTACGTGCTTGAGTTCACTGCTTATGTGTTCCTGGTCGGATATGCATTGGGCTCTATGATACAGAGTCTTGATGAGAGAATTCTTCTGTGATGGATGGTGGTGGGAATCCGGTTTCAGATAAGCATCCGTATGGGTAGCTTTCCTGTAGACAGAGTGGCTCATTGAACCATCAGGTCTCTTTTTAATTAGGACATCCAAAAAAGGTATCTTGCCATCTATTTCGACTTCCATGGTAAATCTGATGGCTGGGTGTATGGAATTGATGTGGTCGAAGAATTGGTCTAGAGCAGGCCGGCCATGTGGCCAGATGACAAAAGTGTCATCCCCGTACCTCTTCCATAAGGTTGGGCGCAGAGTGGCAATCTGGATGGCGTCAGTCTCAAATTTCTCCATGAAAATGTTAGCTATAACTGGAGAAAGGGGGGAGCCCATTGGGGTGCCCTCAGTTTGTTTGTAGAAAGTTCCATTCCAAGTGAAGTATGTATAGGTTAAACAGTGTTTCACCAGGGGGGGTACCTCAGTGTTTAGTCCTTGATGAACCAAGTCTTCAATGATTGCAATGGTGTCAGGTACAGGAACCTTGGTGAATAAGGAAACTACATCAAAACTGACAAGCAGGTCGTCTGGGGACAGGGAAATACCCTTGATTGTCGATACCAGGTGAGTAGAATTTTGTACCGCAGAGGTGGTCTTTCCAGTGAAAGGACGCAGGATTTCAGACAAAAAACGAGCTAGCTTGTAGGTGGGGGAGCTGATAGTAGAGACTATGGGACGAAGAGGTGTATCTACTTTATGTATTTTTGGTAAGCCGTATAATCTTGGTGGCCTGGCAGCAGAAGGTTTCAACGAAAACTGTTTAGATTGATCAATTAATGCGGTTGAATCAGAAATTATTTTGTTGGTTTGTGTGACGAGGCTGTTGGTGGGATCTCTTTTTATTTTTGTATAACTACCATCGTCGAGTAATTCTTTAATTTTGTTGTTGTATTCTATTTTATCCATGATGACAGTAGCATTGCCTTTGTCAGCTGAGAGGACTACAATATCATTCCTCTTTTTTAATTTATATAATTCAAAACGCTCATCTTTGCTGAGGTTGCTAGCTGGCATCTTAGCGTTTGTGAGGGTTGCAGCGATTTCAGATCTTGCTACGTCTGCAGCGATGTGACCCAGGCCCCTGAGAGCAACGTCTACTTGGGCAATTATATCATTAACTGGTATATGTTTAGGTGTGACTGCAAAGTTTAGACCTTTAGCTAAAACGGATTTCAGACCATCGGAAATAGAACTGTTACTGCGATTAATTACGACTTTATTAACGTCTAACTTTTTGGTGTGTGGGTCCGGTCTTTTGTTGAAGAGGAGCTTAAATTTGGAAATCAGGTTTTCCTTACATTTGGTCGACATAGTAGCAGCTGAAGAGGCAGTCATATTGTCTACATGTTCCCAATCCGATGTGGACATTATTGCCGTCAATGATAAGTGTGATTTGTAGAGTGTCTTGTCTAACTGATCTAGTTCTGTGCGTATAAGTCTGATTTTTTCTGAGATAAGAGCTAAGCTAGTTTTGAAAAGAATTGGTTTCGCATTAGAAGAAGTTACAGCAGCAGAGGTCAGTGTAAATGCGATTGGTATTACCCCAGAGTCGCGGCATCTCTTCAGGAAGGTGAGAGACTCGATCAGCTGAGCTTTCTTATCCCGGAGTTTGTTGAAGGATCTTAAAGTTATGTGAAAACCCTCCCCGTAGAGGCGATTAAATTTTGATTTAAAGCTTTCGTGACTGCAGTAATTCATATTCTTAGTTTTTTCGGTAAGTCACGTTGAAGAGAAACAACAAAATAATAAAATATATATAAAACAATAAAAAAATTCTCACGACGTTTCGACCATAACTCAAACGGTCATCTTCAGGTGTGTTGGTTTGCATAAATTAATTTTTAAACGGCGCATTTATTTATTTATAAAAACGTTAGCGTCACGCGCAGCGATTTGGCATGTGACTTTACCGAAAATACTAAGGATAAAATTATTCTAAAGTAATAAAAAAATAAAATTATTGTAAAATAATAAAATAATAAAAATATAAAGCTATAAAATTATTGTAAAACAATAAATTAATAAAAATATAAAACAATAAAATTATTGTAAAACAATAAAATAATAAAAATATAAAATAAAGTTATTGTAAAGCAGTAAAATAATAAAAATATAAAAAATAAAATTATTGTAAAACAATAAAACAATAAAAATATAAAACAATAAAATTATTGTAAAACAATAAAATAATAAAAATATAAAACAATAAAATTATTATAAAACAATAAAAATATAAAACAATAAAATTCTCACGACGTTTCCACATCGAACAGCTCACCTCGTTAATAATCACGATCACGTGACCTCACTGAATATTAACGAGGGGGGCTGGTCGACGTGGAGTGACGTCACCCGCTCATGATTATTAATGAGGGGGGCTGGTCGACGTGGAGTGACGTCACCCGCTCATGAATATTAATGAGGGGGCTGGTCGACGTGGAGTGACGTCACCCGCTCATGATTATTAATGAGGGGGGCTGGTCGACGTGGAGTGACGTCACACGCTCATGATTATTAATGAGGGGGGCTGGTCGACGTGGAGTGACGTCACCCGCTCATGAATATTAATGAGGGGGGCTGGTCGACGTGGAGTGACGTCACC